TGAAACCTTGTTCGTATCGCCAGATCCGAAGTTCGAGGTGCAAAGCACTCGGACGAGTCCTTCGTTATATACTAGTGCTATTTTTAATACCTGATGTTTGTTACATCTTCTCAAAATAGCTTCTACAGCAGGAACTGGATCATCAATGGTTTCTATCTGCGATGAAAAAAAAAAATGAGGATAAGATCAGTATAGATATGGCTTCAGGCTCCAATGTCCGCATACAAACTCTCCAGAGAGAGCACTACACATTTCCTTAAAAAATTAGTTTGAGAGAAGTCAATAACAGATCAAAGTATTTTCTTTTTGGTGTTCACTTTATTAGTTTCCATCACCATTATCATGATGATGTATTAAGAAAATCAGTGAGAAAATTAGCGTGAGAGCAAGCTCTCCGTGGCGCTCTGGCTGCGGTGCAGCACGGCGGGAAAAGGAGGAAAGCTCGCAACTAGTCGATGCGAAATGCTGATTGGCGAAGATGACATTAGTAATGACGTCATTACCCTTAGCACGGGTTTTTCGATGTTTGTTTACATTCGCACTCGATTCCGCTTCGCGCTGATTGGCTGAAACCTGACGGCTTAATCGACGGGGAGCCACTGGGGATTTGGAGGCGGAATTCAAATTCCAGAGACGTAGTTGCAAGCTCTCCTTCCTTTCCCCGCCCCGCCGCCAGAGCGCCGCGGGGAGCGTGCTCGCAGGCTATGAGAAAATTAGTGTTGGTCACTCTCGGACTACACTGTGGAACCTTACTTTGACGCAGTTCCTCAATATCACAGCTGAATCTGAGTTGCTGTTGTCCATGACAATTCCAGGACTGTCTACAAGTTTAACATGTTTGTCCAGTTGCACCTCCTGCATGCTCCTGTAATGCAAAGTACAACAATTCAACGTCAAATGCTTGGTTCAATATAACTGGCTATTGCCCCGACCATCCTTTTGCTTTTGAAAGAACTTGGATAATATCGAGTCATCTTGACTCTCGCTTGGTCAATAAGATACAGCTATTTCAATAAACGTTGTCGAAAAAAAGGAAAAGAAAAAGCTTTTAAGCCAAGACCACAAGGTAATATTGGATTTTTTTGCTCTCAATCACACAAACATATAGAAAGATCTCCAATGGCGCGTGATATGAATAAAGGAGGTTTTGGGGTACATGTATAGCCCCGAGCAAACGGACACAAGACGATTCGCAACAACGATTTTTAGCACAACACAGCGCTGCAATGTTGGAACAATGTTGTAACCATTCGAAACAATGGCGCAACAATGTTGCAACGCTGTGTTGCGCTAACAATCGTCGTTGCGAATCGTCGTTGCAAAACAACAATGTTACGCGTACATCAGGCATTTTATACTAAGCCGTTGTTGCGCGACTACGTTTAATGGGGAAGTGAATCCCGCCTCGTTTAGGTTCGTGTTTATTTCTCACAAAATTGTTTTTTTACGTACACTGTAGTACGTTCAGCTTCGCTAAATATTATATGAGGTAAAGTACTTACTTTGTTACTCCAGGAGTAGCTCCTACTGTACAAGCTTTACATCTTTTTAAACTATTTATGATGCTACGAACAAGAGAGATTATAAAAAAAATATTCAGACGTCACTAAAAGGTAAACCAGATACTTAATAAATGGCAAATTACGACCGTCCCTTCCCCACAGTAGTCAAGATGGAAGAGGTTCTAGTCTTGGCACGGCTACATCCTTGATTATAGGGGATAAAGGGAGAGTTTTTTCTATTTCCTTCCACCCAAGATAATTGTGGGGTGACACCTATATATATTTTGCAGAAATTCACACAGCTTCACAAGCCAAAGTCACTAACAATCAGCTATTGTAAACAGTTTTTTTACCTGCTTTTGCCAACATTTGGAAAACCTAGGAAAAAAGAAATGCAGCATGTTAGAACTTATCATTGTTATTTCGACTTCGCATGTAAGAAACAACAAATCTCACGTGACGTCACATGAGATGAGTTGTTGGGTAGAGCTGTTGATTGGCTAAAAATTTGCTTCATCCAATCAGGAGCACAATTCACATGACGCGTCATCAGAATGGAATTTCTCCGCTTGTTCCTCAGGCGTCATTTCGCGGGAAAACCAGTAGTAGTGTCATGAAATGTCGGCTTTTTTTCCCCTTGCACATGTAAAGAAAAGGAAATAGTAATGGAGATATCTACATGCAGACTAAGGAGTACACTGTGAGCAGACTCTCTCCTTTCTTGGTCCGTCGAGCAAAACGCGTAAGACACGCAAATGACTACGCGCATGACTGAAGGCGCGAGGCGTGAGAGGCACGAAAAAAGAGAGTCCCTCGTTTTTCTTGTCAGGCTGCCGCCCTCGTTTCTTGCGTGCTCGCGCGCGCGTGCACTCCTCTCGCGGTCTAACTAATAGCTTCAGTCCCTACCTACTATTCCAACTGTAATAGCTGTTTTAATGTCTTTGTTTCGGCAGTAGTTTCCAAGAAGCTTAAGCAAAGTATCAGCTCCAATACAAGCGCTGGATGTTAGCAAATCTCCTGACGCTAATGATGCAGAGACTTTACTCTGATGCTGTAAATACAGAATTTAAAGCAAGCAGATTTTAGCAGTGAGGTGTGGCTCCTTCTTAGATGATGAAATGACAGAATGAGTTAAGTGAATTTCGATAATATACTTCTTGAAAACAGCTGTAAGAATTTCTAAAAATTAAATGTTCTTCCCAAACACTGACAACCACAGGTAGCTCAAACTCAAAATATGAGCATCGGCGAGCATCGGCATTGTTGCGTAACATTCAAAATATAAGGATTTGTGTGGGGAAAAAACCTATGGTTTATGTAACCTACGAAAATGAAAGAATTTCAATAAAAAACAGCTTACTTTACTTAAAATGTGTCTCTCTATAAAAAGGTAAGAGAGAAAACCGTTTACTATACATAAAAACCCATAAAACGGCCATAAATCGGCCCGTGGACCACACAGGAGAGATGTAACACACATTTTAAGCAAGGTAAGCTGTTTTTTTTATTGAAATCCTTTCATTTTCGTAGGTTACAGAAACCATGGGTTTTTTCCCAAACAAATCCTTATATTTTGAATGTTACGCAACAATGCCGATGCTCGCCGATGCTCATATTTCGAGCTTGGGCTACCTGTGCAGACAACTAGGAGCCATGCCAAGCTAACTATGCAGCCTGATCTTTAATATCAACACAACTAAGCCGGCACAAGTATAATAACAAAAAAGAGCTAAAAATGGCTGACCAGAAACTGAGAATAGGTACCATCAAAACTAGATATAAACGGCATTACTGGGACGGGTCAGGCCGCAACGGCAGATGGCAATGTTCAAAACAAACTGAACTCTGAAACACCACGTGACCTAAAGGCCCTTGTACACTTAAACCCATATTACTACCCATGTGTGAGAAAACGTTTTTCTCCTTGTTTGTTCCTCAGCCAGCGGAAACCACAATTATTAGAAGTTTTCCAAAAAAAAAAACATCCAAGGAAAATTACTAGTAGTAAAATAATTACTTACTAAATTCTGTTTTTGTGCTTGTGTTGATGCCTTAAAAGCAACTGTTGGAAACTCATTGCGAAGATACTTTAACCACTTATCAACAATTTCTCTTGGAACAAGATCTGAAGAGTAATTAAAGTTCCAATATTAAACATAACATAGGCAGATTCAGATCTTTAAGTATGAGGGAGCTGAAACTCATCCAGGCCAAAAGAAGGGGACCCGTCCTCAGGAATGATGAGCTTAGACAACCACAACAGCAAAAGCACCATGTGTGAATTTTTGCTGTCATCACACTTACAATGTATTCCATCTTGCTCAATTCATCAAATTCTGGCAAATTTTTGGGATATGAATTCTACAGGAGCTGTATCTCAGTTCAGAAAAAGAAAAAGGAAGCTGTTGTCCTGCATTTATTTTACATCCTCCAGAAAACGTTTCGTTAGGCCGTTTCACTTTGTTGGCATGTTACGGCAGAAAGAATTGTACAAAAAGCATTATGCACATGCAAAGCTGTTGTTTTGCTTCATTATTAAACCAATTGCTTCTTTGCCGTTCTCATTACTGTTGCTGTTGTCGATGCTTAAGCCCCCTATTTTTTTCTTTCCCTGCAGGTTCCAGTTTGGCCCCAAAAATAATAGGACATTAATTTTACTTTTACCTCTCATTTGCTCTTTTGTTTTTTCTTTCTGGGTGTTTGACTCTGTGATTGTTAGTAATTAAATACACTATGCACATGCACATCAGGACTGTCATGCCAGTTTGCATGAATTAAAATTGAAACTATACAACAATGGTATTTCCCTCTTCGGATGTTGTTTCACCTGTATTTTAACTCAAAGAAATGCATGAAGTCTAAAATCAATGGCAATGCTGCTAAGAACCCAAAAAATTAATTCTCCATGAGGAGTTGCAAAAATCAGTTCCATGATAAAATACAAAAACTCTCATCCACAAACTCCCATAAAAATAACTAGTACCCACCTATTTTATTCAAAATCAGCACTAATTTTTTATTGACACCCGAAGACATTACTGATTCCTCAACCTGTTGATTGAATAAAATTAATGGTGAAATTTCCATTTGGATTTCACACAATACCCATATAGTGTGACTATCAAAGAGACAGATTGCATCCTGTACACTGTACACTGGATGAATCAGACGTGAAATATTGCTAGCCTCCCATGAAGCCACATTTTAATAGGGAAGTTGTATTTTGTGAAAGGTGAAAGAGTCTGAGAAGAGAGTCGTGTGCAATAGCCTGAGGGTATGGGCATACTAAGTTTTTGGAGAATTCAAAATACAGAACTACTGTACAAGACAAACGTTATTGTTTAAATTCCTAATAATTTCATGTGAATCGGAAGTTGTTTTTCATGCTGACATGAGTGCCAAACTGAAATTATTTCACTTATTATGACAATGATCATGAATTAATAAAGCAAAAAATTAATTAACTAATGGGATAATCAGTTAATAAATATTAATTAATTAATTTTTGATCAGTCAATAACTACAGGATATGTATTCTAGAAAGACTATCAATAATTATTAAATTCAGAGTTTATAAAAAAAAATTACAATGGAAGATTATTAGAGAGAATTCTAATGTTAAATACCTGTGTACATCTACATCCCATGGGATCCCTGGCATCCAGAACCTCAAGAACGACATCAGAGGCATCCACAACCTGTTCACAAGAGAAATACAACGGGCCTTACGATTAGATGACAGTAATGGTAACCAGAATGTCATAACATCAGTAGGTTCAATAAGCAAAAAAAACAACATTGCACGTGCAGCACACTTTTTTGTACATTTCTTTGCCATCACTGCACAACAACGACATGAAAATGAGTAACTTCCCGTTTTAACGAGGATGTAAAAAGGCCATGACGAAATTTTCTTCTCTTTCTGAACCTGGATATATTGTTCTTAAGAATTCAACTCCAGGATAGTTCGCCTACATTTGACCAAAGTACATTGTTTGCAGTGAAGACTGAAAGAACACAAAATCACTTTTGAAGCCACATTTCTGTTGCTGTTGCCAGCCCCCGCCCCTTAGTGAAAGCTGTGGTAAGTTTCCATTCACTAGAGCGAGTTTTGACGAGATGATGTGACATTGATTCCATGTAACTTTGAATCTTGATGCAATCTTATTGTAGCACCAGTCAAGTGAAACCTCAAATAATTGGCAAATACATTGCATCGTCCTGTTTATTGCTTAAGATTTAAATTTTTGTTGAATTTTGTGATAACTGGGAACCAATAATGGGTGTTTTGGATGGATGAATGCTTATATGTACTACGGAGAGGTCATTTAAGAAAAAATTAATTGATCTCACAGGTTATGCATTGTACAATAACATTAAAAATTTAATATTTAAAAACTCATTAATAATTCATAAAGGAAAAAAAAACCAAAGAAATTAAGGTTTATTAAAATGTCGTTACATCTGATAAAGACATGGGCTAAACTTTACATCCAGTTTTTTAGACCACTCTAAATATTAGTGCAAGAATGAGTTGATCTATATCAGAGATTTTGAAGCCGTTCAAAAAATTCGCAGTCATACAGTGTATATTGCCAGGTTTAAAAACTTGAGGCGAAGCCAAGAGTTTTTAAACCCCATGATACACTCCTGCTCATTTTTTAAACAGTACAACAAAGAAAAATGAATAATTATAATTAAAAGTACTGAGTATGACCATCCATACACAACTGTACCTTTTTAAATTCTTTATAATATGCCTTAAGAGATCCCTCTGAAATCAAAAAGCAAGGTCAGTATAGGGATAGTTCTATGTTGCTAACCTTGTCTGGTAGTTCTCTCTCTCTCTCTTTTTTTTTTTTTTCTTTTTTTTTTTTTTTTTTTTGAAACAGGGGTGGGGAGGGTCAGAAAATTGTGCACAAATTAAGTCTCCTGTATTAAAAACGTCTTGTGTTTTCGCAAGAATACAAGGAGCCTCATAAGAACCATAAAAGCATGTTACTCACTCACTCCATACATGTATATGTGTAGTTTAATGAAAGTACATACTTTCTTTAAGAGAAATACAGTGAGAATGTTTTAATACTTTCAACTGACCTAGCTTTCTACCAGAATAAACATCTGATTGAGAATTCTCCTTTAAAGACTCCTGCAAAAAAAACAACAACAACAACAACATTATATCATGTAACAGAGGTTGTAACTATGAAGAAAAAATAACTTGCATTGTATAAAAAAGGACTGCACAGACAGTGATCAAGTCAAAGTTATTCAATAAACCCGGTAATCCTTGATTCAATCGAACTTATTCATTACTTGAATTTGTTTTCTATAAGCCTACAAGCAAGCTCTGTTTCTCTCAGCTCTCTTCGCTTCGCCTAATTACTTTAGATACATGTATGTAGGGGGTGGGCGGAAAGAATCTGTTTCTCTCCCCCACCCCCATCTCTTGAGTCAAGCTCAGAGATCACTGAGGGAACTTGAACACTGGGTCATTTATCTCCTACATTACATTACCATGAATCCACAAAAACAAAGGAAAATAAACCAAGGATAAATTCGACCAAAACATACATAAATTTATCAAATGAGGTGTTGAGTAAAGATGGTTGGATAAAGACAAGTTCAATTTCATTAGGTTTTTAGGGACTGAGTCGAAAAGTTCCAAAAAAGAACTTTGCCAATACCTAGCCACCTTGATCACACAAGCTTGACTAATACAGGATTTATTACATGAACATGCCCAAAGGAAAATTTATGTCTTGCTGGAAAAATATATCAGGCAATTGTAAGTGGGCAGGACAAAATCATTTTGTTTGCTAGGTTAGCAAATCAGAGCACGTACTACATTTATACATTTTTACCTTTTTCTCAAATTCCTTTCCCCTTTTCATTGCATCTTTCTGTAGACTTTCCAGGTTTCTTTTCTTATTCACCTCTTTTAACCGGCTCTGCTTTCTCCTTTCGTTTGCTTCCTCTTGCTGTAAAGAATTGACCACATCACATATGCATTCAGGATTCAGAATTCTCCTGATCAGCAAAGAATTTTATGCAAACACTATGTGAGATAATTGTACGAATGTTACAGATCAAAATGAAATTCGGGTTAAACTTTTTTTACCTACATGTACATGTAGGTTGATTCTTTGAGCCCTAACTCATGAATAATTAGGGCTAGGAGACAAAGGAAATTGAGAATCAACTAAGGTTAAACAAAGTTTAATGTGAATATACTTTTGACCTGTAACATGTACATTTATTACATGAACACCTAAAAAATTACCCTTCTTTTCTTCTCCTCTGCCTGTTTAAGAACTTCCTCTTTAAAAGGAAAAAGATTGGGAACCCCTGGATCTTTCTTATGTTCTAAAAGGAAAAAGAATAAACAAAAGTTTGAACATATTTCCAGGTTATCGACACATGTAGATAGTGTCAAATCTTTACTATGGTCTATTGCCTTTAACTAGACTTAATATGATTACACACAGGAAGCATCCTATTAGGTAAATTGGCCCTTAGTTATGGAATCTACTACCTAAAAAGATCTGCAGGGACCTTCCTACACTATATGTGTTCAAGCAACATATTCTACAGCTTGACCTAAATTCCTTGCTTGCTGAAATTCAGTGCTCAAATTGAACTATAATTATGTAGTGCATAACAAACATGCTACTATTTTTACTGAGCTCATCATACACATAATGTGCATAATTTAGTAATTATGCTCCCGATCATGTAATAATCATATACATTTTACACTTTGGACTCTAGTCAAAAATGATGCACTTGTAGATAGTTTTATTCATAATATTCGATTTTAATTGCTACAATAGCTGCTTATTTTAATTTATAGTGTCCCCATTTAGTGGTTCTTCTACTGCTATGTTAGTTTGACACTTAATTAAAGGTATTGATTGATTGATTATATAATGTGTCCTTTTTTTAAAGAAGCTATATCAAGGCTGTGCTCTAAGGAAAATTGAAGGGAGCCCAGTGCTCTGAAACTGTAAAATCTAGGGTGCCCAGCATATGATTTGTATGAAAAATCTGAGATTTTCTAGTCACCTGAAGGCAAAAGTTAGGTGCCAGGGGCCACTGGGCTCTGCTAGAGCATAGCTGTGCATATTATAAGGATATTGCTGTTTAACCCTTTAAGCCCCAATATCCATATACAAATTCTCCAAACTGATCTCCATACATTTCCTTCATGAATGAGTTGAGAGAATTTCATAAAAGATCAAGGCATTTTCCCTTAGGTGATCTTTTATTAATTCTCATAACCTAATCTCTTGACATGGTATGGATATCGTTAGGAGAAAATTGACGTTGGTCACTATTGGGACTTAAGGGTTGAGGTCAATTCTGTATTGGAATCATCTCTTTATTACCTTTACCCATACACAAAATGCTCCTGTAGAGTTATGAAGAAGATATCAAACAAATTTAACCCTTTAAGCCGCAATATCTTCATACAAATTCTCAAAACTGATCTCTATACATTTTTTTACTGAATTAGTTGGGGGAATATGAAAAGCAATCTGAGCATTTTTCCTTTGGATCATTTTATCAATTCTCATAACCTCTTCACTTGATTGCATACTGATAATGTAAGGAGAAAATTGGTGTTTGTCAGTCTTGGGACTTAAAGGGTTAATAGGGGAATAGTGTGGGGTTAGTGCTGCAAGCAAGTTTGCATTACAACTTGAAAAGTTTGGCCCAATGTTTTCAAGTTTCAATCCATTTTTATCCTTGCCATCCATTCAGGGCTTGTGATATTTCGCGCGGTCGCGGACCCGCGAAATTCAGGTATTTCCGCGAAATCCCGCGAAATTCCCCCCAAAACGAAAAAATCCCGCAAAATCCACCAGAAATATTTCCAAATACATGTCGGCAAAACATATTTAATACCTATCTTGGCTATTAGACCTGTTTTATTCACCCCAAACGTCCAAATTAATTTTATCTTGAAACTTCGTCACTGCAACGAGTAAACAACGTCCCAAAACTACCAGGCGTTCTTAGATTAATGTTGCGAAAAACTGGGCACTAACCATAATGTTAATAGCTTTAGCAGTCGCTCATTTCTCAAGCGAACTGTTGTTGGAAGAGCAAATTATCCCTGTTAAAAAACGTTAAACAACGCTGGTCATATCAACGCAAAATTGATCGATTTTAGCAAAATTTGCCCAAAAAAATCCAGCCAAATCGGCTGCTTTTTACTGATTGTTTCTTGGCGATGTCGAAGTTTCCCCCGAAATTTCCCGTGAAAGCGGCCGATTTTTCTGAGCATTTGCTCCTGAAAATGCTTCGAATTTTGACTTTTTTCTGCAAAATCCCTTGAAATCGGCCGATTTTTCTGCGAATTTTGACTTTTCTCCAGCGAAAACCCCGCGAAATCGGCTGATATTTTCGCGAATTTTGACTTTTTCCCGCGAAAATCCCGCAAAATCGGCCGATTTTTCCGCGAATTTGCCCCTGAAAATCCCGCGAAATTTTGCTTTTTTTTCCGCGAAATATCAGAAGCCCGACCATTGCAACAGACAACAGGAAACAGTTTCAATGTCTAAATATAATATATTTAAATAAAAAAACTAGATCATTATTTTTGAAATTCAATTGATGTGAGAAAAGTTTTAGTTTTTTAAAAAGATAGCAAGTAGCATAATATTAAAGCCCCTTTACAAATAACCTACTTTTTGATTTTCCATTTAGCTTTGCTTCCTTCCGCTGTTTTCTTAAATGTTCCCTGATCTACAAAAAGGAAAAAAAGACTCTATGTAAGCTAATAGTCATTGCCCAAGTGTTGTCAGAATTCTTTGCTGTACATCGGTGGATCCCCAATATTCCATTAAGCCCCAGTCAGTGATTTATGAAGAAAAAAGGGTAACACTAGAATTAAGGACACGGCCACACAGGATGAATTTAACTGCGACAAGCATTTTGATATATAGTTAATGGCCCTCAGGAGTTGTAGTATGTAAGCTGTCAGCATTTTGTCACAACGTAGCTGCAGTGATAAAGTTTCCCCCAAAACATTTGCCGGTTAAAAGGTTAAAGGGGTAGTCTTACACTGAACCACACATTGGTAAGGAACGACATGCCTTGCAGACCTCTCAAGTCTCATGGTTTTAACGTAAGACTCACGGTTTTGAGGACAATCTCACAGTCTCACGATGAGGCACAAAAATCTCACATTAAACAGAATCAAAAACCGATGGAATAAACATTTTGAATATGTTCATTTTTGCCTTGTAAAATTGATTTTCAGGTGTCAATTCTGAAGAAATCCACAGTTCTAAGGCATATTAATTTTGTCATTTTTGATCATCTGGTTGACAAGATACAGATCTCAAAACCATTTTTTGAAGACACATACCAAATAAGGTTATATTTACCAGTTTGTCGCATCTAGATACGTTTTGTCCATGTTGTCAAAATGGTGGGAAATGATGACTATTCATCGGGTGAAGACAAAGTTTAAAACAGAATGGGAAGGTTCGTATCCTGTTAAACGTATTTTTAGCGATCCATTTTCGTTTTTCTACAATGGAGGACAAAAATCCTTGGAACGGTTATAGAAAACCTTCCTTCCACATCCTTAACTTATCAAATATTCAGATGTAGCATAATATGCACGTCTCTAACCACTTGGATACCCCAAATGACCCTCCCCTCCCCACCCCAAACAATGTTGGGATGAAGAAACACTTTTAGCACAGCGTAAAGTGTACAGGGGTGCACAAACTACAACATTGCTTGGGGGAGAGGGGGAAAGGGGGGAAAATTAAGGCAGATCGTGTTAATTGTCCTAAGAATTTTGTCCTCCATTGTAGTTTTAGTTCTTTTTGACGCCGTTGAAAAATCTCCAGGTTTTTCCCCCAAATCTCCAGGTTTTTTGACTTTGATCTATATAATAATTTTAGTTTCTTAGATTCAGTAATCGAGTAAACTGGACCGCAACTTTGAGCCTAAACACTGGGATGTCCCTCTGAAATACAACCTTAACTATTTGATAGTTAAAGAAAGATCTCTTAAGATCTCTTCGTTAAGTATCCGGTCACTTCGTTCCGTGATCATTTGGATTATTTCGATCCAAGTTTGATCGGGATATTCTATGAAACCATGTGAAAGCAACGACAGTGACGATCTAGCTTAGAACGAAGTGACCGAATAAAAGCCATCGTTGTTAAGTGTATAAAACGTAACTAACCTTTCTCTGAATTTTGTACCTCTTGTGTGCAGTCATTCGTTTGCTTTGTTTTTCTGTGAGAGATTGTTTGGCATAAAAAACAGCTAGTTTAAAATTGATTGAAAAAAATTAAGTGAAAGCAATGACTTGTTATAAGCAAAAAGGGATCAACAACTTACTTGGTCGAACCATTCTCGTTTTGTAATTGTTGCAATCAGGAAAACGTCCCTCCACGTGAAAAGGTAACAACAATATGGCGGACTAGTTCCCAGACTCCTCGGGCACCCAATTCGTTTCCAGTAAACGCAGATAATTTTTTTGCTCCGTTGCTACGACCACAGGACACCCAGGCTTCATAGTGAAGGCAATAATGATCCAAGTTCGTTTTTTTAAAACTTCTGACATGACTTCGAGGCTTTCTGGTCATATTTATATATTTGGTTTGGTTTTCCAGGGCCGTAGCCAGGAAGAAACTACAACCGAGGCGAACACACGGTCCGTTGTACGAAATCAGCCGTATGAAATCTTCTAATATTTAATATCAGTCTGATAAAAAAAATAAAAATCGACAGTATTTGATAAAATTTTACCGAGGCGAGTGCCTCGGTTCGCCTCATACTGGCTACGGCGGTGTTTTCTACATGCACAAGTCTCTTCTAGGAATCGCGAGACAATGGAGTCGAGAAAAATTTGCAATTTTGTCCGTTTTGTTGATTTTTTATTATGCTCTTCTCTTGACTATCATGTAGAACTGGAAGTTAGAGACAAAGCGCAGGTTAGAATTTTATAGAGCCCCCCCCAACTCCTTTCAGTTTCCTTTCAGCAATCAACTTAGCTTCATTCAAGTTAATTTCATCTGATCATGAAATTCTGTTGAACTAACAACGAAAGGAGCAAAAAAATTAAAAACACTGATAAAAACAACGACAAAAATATAAGTAAGGAAAAGAAAGATTGACAAAAGAGGGTTTCTGATAATTATTACGATATACTCCCATTGCAAACTTCACTAGATTGTAACGTGAACTTTTGCTTATTTTTTCTTATATGTTGGCTACAAATTCTCGATACAGGAAAAAAATGGTCCATCTTGGAAAGGTGACAAAAGCGTTCTCGGTGATCGACTTTTGGTCATAGTTATACTTCCAGTATTTCGATAAGAAGAGAAGGAGCATTAAAGTTGCTTCTTCAGTTAAATAAGCACTTAGCACGTAGAACAATTATCCGAACAAACTCATTTTGTTTTATTTTCAGATCAGGTTTGGAAGAAGTCTACTGTCAATTGTCACAGGGGGAAATTTCATACTGATTCAGATACGAGTTTGCCTTTCCTTTCCCGAATTTAAAGAATCCAAATACAAAAAACGTTCCTGAAGGAAAGAGAAATATGAGGGAAATTTCAGGTACCAGTTTAAAAAATTCTCATTGATTGTTAAGATCCCTCAGGGCAGTTCTGTTTTTTTTTTTAAATGAATTTAGACTTTGGATACATGCAGCTGAAAGGGTGCATCAAAAGTGACCTCCTCGCGTTAGAAATTCATCACACCAGAATGAGGGTCAAAGACAAAGACCATTCTTCTTGCCTCTACGCTGAGTTATTCGTAAATGTTAAAACACGGTTAGTGATGATAAGATACAGTTTCTACCGTTCTCGTCCGGCAGAGTCACTCAACCAGAAAAACCACGGGCTCTGCGAACAGGTATGTTGCTTCCAGTACTTATTATCCCAATTAAAAAAAGTCTTTTCTAACCAAAAGCAAAAAGGAGAAAAATGGTTTTGAGGAAAATTAGCCTGAACAGTAGTTTCTACTGGGGTAACTACTCATGTTGGCAAGATAATGGTCTTAACAAAATATTTGTGTTTCTCTATTCACAGAACAGATGTGGAAAAATTTCTGAAGATAAGCGAGTATACCTTCAAATTATCACCGACGGTCAGGAAATTTCATATCGTGAATTTGACAGCCATTGTTATAAATTAAAGATAATCCAAGGCTAAGCCAAAACCGAAATGAATAGTAAAAACTCCTAAAAATAACAGGTACCAGCTTTAAAAAAAGTTGCCTTTCTCATGTTACGAACTTTTTCACAGTGGCAAGAAAAGTTCACTAATGGTTGTGTTAATTATTAACGAAAAAACTGACCAACAGCGCTCAAGCGAAATAACCTCAAGTGAGAAAAATGAAAAAATTGAAATATTTTACGCCAAACAACAACAATAACAACAAACATTAGAGCGCAGTTGACATTCTTTGCGGCTCCTTCTGAACCGTAGCGCTTTATAAAACTAATAATGTTAAACTATTTGTGTTCCATTTTTATGAAATGTTTATTCATTCGACTTTTCCCCATGCTTAAAGAAAAGAAAAAGAAATTTCAGTCCACATACTTACTGTCATATTTATTTTAAACTTATAAAAAATTATTATTGACAAGAGCCATAATATGGCTCTTGTTGCTGAACATTTTAACTGTGGTTTTTGAAGGAAACCTGAAGTAAATATAGGGTTAACTGTCATAACTCAACAATACTCGTCACAAATCTTGAAATACTTGTGTGCTTTTCCCCTTCCCCAATGTTGATTTGGGTATTACAGTCGTCTCAGTGCTCCAAAATACGCGTGGCTCAACATTGGGGAAGGAGAGGGGTACATTTGAGAGAGAACAAAGGTGTGATGAAGATTGATATTAAGAAATTTCCGAGAAAATTCAAGGAAAACGGTTCCTGTTTCAACGATTTGTGACGAGTATTGTAGAATTTACCTTAATTTGCTTTGAATGACCCTAGGTACTAGCAGGCAGACATAAAACCGTAAAATTGAAATTTTCTCATTTGAATCAGTTTTGTAAAAGACAAATTTGAGGAGTTTCATAAAACAATAGAAACATAAGAGCAACACAAGAACGTAACAACAACAAACTCACATATTTCCGTTCGCTTTATTTATACTATATAATGGTAATATATCGACATCAACATCGCATTTGAGTAAAAGATTTGCACGGTCATAGAATGGATAGTACGCCGTAGAAATAAATATAGGAATTGGAACGTATTTCTTTTGAATACGTAAAAGAGGGTCCCTGATATAATCGGTTTTTAACCTTTCTTATGTAAAGGCCAGGATCCGGAATTTTAAAAGAAGCAGAACAGGGGCAAGATTCTGGTTTGAAAGTATGCAAGAAATGTGTGATACTAAAAATAACCGTCAGGATTACTAGTGTCCCTCGCAGCCGTTTTTGTCTCGTCACGTATCGCCCCTGTTGGAGAAGAGCGTTGCGTGATGAGACAAAAACGGCTGTGAGGGAGACTGCAGGATTACGGGATTGCACGAAAATTTTATATTTGGGTCAATAGATGGGATTGAAGAATCCTATTGGGGACCCTCAAAAGTAAACAAGCTACGGGCATCCAAGGCCTTCAATATTCACATTTCCTCGATTGCACCTCATATATGTCACAAACTTATATTTTCCTCCCAAGTTAGCGTGCTTAGGATTATAAATGTGCTCGTTGGTAATTCCGTCCCTTGCGCGTCTGACTTTGTCATATGATTGTTTGTGAGACCAAAATCCGCCGTCATCTTTACGGTACCAGTGAAAGTCCCCAATGTAATAGCCTGGTATGTCTAGAAGGTAGGTGGAGAATGTTAGACTTTTGCTCAAAGGTCGAAAAATGAGAAGACCAACTTGCGATTTCTATTGCTTGGCAAGAAGTCAGTGACAAGTTGTAAAGACTTAGACTGCGAACAGTCTCTTATTTTTCTTTGCAAGGTTACTGCACGCGAAACCTAAGCACGCGAGCGGCAAAGCCGCGAGGCGCGAGAAACGAGGGCGTAAGCCCGAGAAGAAAAAATAAGAGTCCGTCTTTTCTCATCTGGTCTCAATCCCTTATTGTAATAATAACGTCGTGGTTTGCGATCGCGCTGGATGAGATAAGAACTAGACGGATTTTAAGAGAAAAGGCGGACTGTAAGCAGTCTAGTAAAGATTAAAGTCCCACCTGAACTTTAAAACCGATCGAGCGCGAAGGTCGACATAGCACCTTTCTTAACGATACTAATTGACCCCACCAATGCGCGTTTCTGGATCACTCCACATTTATAAGGGATACAGCTCTTTGAAATTGGATGATCGGTTGCTTGTAATTGTTAGAGCATTCAACAAGAAAAATTAAAAGCGAAGTTAACCAACGGCGATGTATCCAACATCATTTTCAAGAATTAAGAATGGAAAAAATTGTTGAGTGTAAAAATCGTTAAAAGAGTTGAGATTCAAATTCATACGGCTCTCATGTGTGCTCTTTGAAATTTGAGGTGCACACGATTCTGTCAGGTTTGGCAAATATTTGTCAAAACCTCTGCCTGTTTATTGGCCTAATGTAAGTATAACAATTCAATTATCCCTTTTTTGCAACTGCCCCCTTTTTTCCCTAAGCATTCCCCTGAGAACTATACCAATACCCTTCTCGCACCATGTAAGGAAATCCTAGACTTTTTGGATTCTGGATTCCACGCCTTGGATTTCGGATTTCAGTTACTGGATTCCAGTCTTTGTCACCCGGTTGTGAGTGGAACTTGGATTCAGGATTCCAATCGTTAGTGGGATTCCAGATTCCTTGAGCTTGAGCGGCATTTCGAGTTCCAAAGCCCAGGATTCCACATTCCACAAGCAAAATTTTCCGGATGCCACAAACAAAAATTTCCCGGATATCGGAATTCGATTCTCTTACATAGTGCGACCCGTCGATGCAACTTGATCGATACAACAATCAACCGATTTCTTTACGACTACACCTCCAAATTTTGGGCGCCATGTTAAACTTAATTATAGTGAAAAAGAACAACTGAGATGATATAACTTAACTGTTGCTTAAATTTAAGGGACTGGGGTTTACATGGAGGGAGGAAGATCTTAACTTTAGGAAGATCCTAGAAGGCGGAACAACTCTTCGTTGGATTTACATGCAGAAATTTTGGCTCGTGTAGGTATCAAGTTGAGGAGGAAATGAAGATGGCGGGTGACAATAACAAAAATGTAATTTGGACCCTTCTCCTCTCTTTTGCCTGCGTTAAATAATACCTTTCAGCAGCAGTTAGTAGTTCCGCCTTTATTAAACAATTAACGAATGAGGCTGAGTATCTTATGAAGAATTATGGAGATCGAGGAACACCGTACCCTCCGAGAGTATCAGTGACCCGTCACAACAATCATGTGATCATGAAGTCTGAGATTCATCTATACCGCAGATCAGACAGGAGATGGTGCTGTAGTTCTTATTCTTGAAACGAGTGAAGTGTCCGCCATTTTAGTTTTTTACAACGAAAACAACTCAATCTTTTCGGTCAACGGTGCATTAACCCGTAGAAGGCTGCATTTTTGACGTCATTTCCTCGTTAAACCCAAAATTCTTCTAAATTTGGTCATCAGTAACTGGTTATGGTGAATTATGCTTGTGCTTTTAGCCAATCAGAATTGGGGAAATATTTTGAATGAATAATAAAACAGGTTAAGGCCTAACGAAACTGTTGGTCTTCATTGCCGTGATTATCCACAGAGCACTCTCCGCATTATGTCTGGTTTGTACCTTTTTAAGCAGTAGGATATGCCTAGTAAAAGCAGTTTTAATACACGATGCTAGGACGTTCTCCCTTCTAGGAAATTCCTACATCTCAGCCAGAAAGATCCAAGTGCTTGAAACATGTTAGCTCTAGGGACAAGTACAACCCTATGCATGTAAACCGAATACAGAAAACATATGGAACTAGGATGATTCGCCTTCTAGGATCTTTCTGTGCGAGGATCTTCCTCCCTCCATGTAAACAGCCCGGGAGGGGTGGGGGGGGGGGGCACTCCGCGTATGAAAGGGGTGGGATGTTCGTCGTCTCGCTTAAGGGTGTAAATTTCGGAATTTTGGTCTCACTTAGGGTGTTCTGCGCAAAACGCCATCATATTTAGCCGTGAAGGTCTCCTTTAGGGTTGCACGCGAAACAATATAAAAATATATATGTATTGTCTGCGTTTTAACATGGTCTCTTTTAGGGGTCAAAAAAAGTTTGGGCCACGCCCAGATCCGTCTCCTTTAGGGGTTTAATTCAAAATTTCCAATGAGCATCCCCACCCCTTTCATATGCGGAGTTCCCCCCTCCCCGGGGTAAACAGCTCTTAAATTTCACTACCAACCCTCGTCAACTGCTAGTGCCACCAAGTGCTCATTCCCTGTTGGAATTTCATTGAACACTTCCACCTTCAAACCATCTCTTACGGCTGCAGCTTTCAAATTGTTTTCTGTGTGTTTTGTATAGACCTGTCCTCCTCCACGCCCAGGCTCTGCGAAGTCATTCGTTACCAAAGTGGTTGCATAATTATAGCAGTTGTTGCAAAATTGTGTAATCCCTCCATCATTCCAGTTCTGCGGCTCGAACGCAGGCGCATAACGCCGGTTGACTGACTTCTCTCCGCCAGCCTTGACAACTTTCACAACTTTCATCTCATCTTTAATCGCCTCTAGGTTTCCAGGTAATAACAGTCCTTTTGGCATGCTATTGAGTAAATCGACCTGCAGCTGAATAGTTTTGAAAGTCTTCAGTTTGTGAACGGGTGTCTTTCACCAGAAATCCCCGGTAGCCAAGCTTATTGGGAATACCATCTGGATGGTAAGCGAAACCTTTGTTTCTTACCAGAGTCAACTTGTTCTGAATCAGCATATAGTTTTTGCTATTCACTTCGACTACCCACTTGGGGTTTGGACGACCAGAGAAGGTTAACAAAGTTACCTTTAGGTCCCCTACGATAATAAAACAGACCATGAAGGTTATCTTTGAAAATGTTACTTTGTTACTTCCATTTCGGTTAAAACACCCTTTCAGCTTGTATGTTTTGGTTTCCCAACTCAAACCACATGGTGTTCTCCAGGGAAGTTGCCTTTTTTTTCCTTATAAATTATGCATCCATATGCAGGCGGATGCAGTTACGTCACGTTTCTATGGTAGCAAAATTTTTGGATGACAACAAACCAATAAAGTTACTTAAAAGCCTATTCGCACTATTTCAAACCTCACCGATCTTATTCAATTTGATTCATTTCATTTGGCAGATTTTGGCGAAATTTTCTTTGGGACCGTATCTTTCGTTATCTAAGTTAAGAAAAAAAAAAGCGACAATTTTTGTGTTTTGTTCACCTATTCCATAACGCGGGCTCGCGAAATTAGAACGTTTCATATCGCAGTGGTGCAACGACGGCAAAGAAATGTACAAAATAGCGTGATTGACGTGAAAAGTTGTTGTTTGTTGATATAAACAAATTATTTTTTGCCGTTCTCCCTGCCGTCGCCGTCGTCGTTGGTTTTGTTGTCATCCAGAAATAGTGCTACCATGGTAACGTGACGTCACAATTCTCCCTCTATTGGTGGATGCAAAGGACGACATGTGCAAGAGAGAGGAAGTTCCCTAGGGTACCATCACGTGGTCTGAAATGGGAAAACAAAACATACAAGCTAAAAAGATCTATACATGTTACAGAAAGTTAAAACAAATACAGTGTATAAATAGATGGAGGAGGGCTAAAGAAACTATTTAGAAGCTTTTACTTTTACTAGTAAATAATGGAGACATATTATCTGTAGAATAGTCGGGCATTAATGATCGTGATCTGAAGGTATATACTTACCAACAATTCGCTCAAAAAGGCAGATTTGCAGAATGAAAATGATCGTTGGATAGTGCAGCATGTCTCAAGATTCCTGTCGGTAATGAAATTTCCAGTTAGCAGCAATTACTGGAATAGACCTCTTTAGCTTCAGTGTCTTGTTTTCCCAATGCAGGTCATGTGATAATACTATGGAGAACTGTTTCTTTTATATATTTCGTCCTATTTCTCTTGTGTGTTTACGCAATTATTTATGAAAACACAAAGAGACTGAACAGGCAAAGAGGTCTACACAAGATAAGAGTGGTTTCGCTGCACTGGTCGACCGTGTAGTCGCCAGTGCAACTCCATGGTAACAGGTTTACCGTAAAGTACAAGCTTAAGAAGTCTATCGAACATCTGTTAAAAAGTGACCTTACATTGCCAGAAAACGAAAGAAATCCTATTTTTATAGCAAGCGAAAAGAATTTATTAGCGCTCAAACTGATCTGACGGTACCGCCGTTTAAACAGTTATGAATTTGTCCGCTTACTACTGTTTTTGGATAAAAGTTTATTCTTTCCATTTTGCCTCCCCATAAACTATTGGAAGAATGGCTAGGATTCAATGGGGAGGGGGAGGGGGAATAATGTAAGCAATGTCTTGATTTTACTGATTATATCGGATACCATCGATCATCAATTATCGATCCCAATACATTGCGCTAAAAAAACTTGACCTATATTCCCTATAACTGATTATGGAGAGGCGAACAGTGACATTCGAAAAACGACATAATTATTCAAAATAATAGCAGGGAGAAATAATGTGCAAAAATGACTGATATTGGTAAACAATTTCCGATACGTTCCCATTTTTTTTTTATCTCTAAAAAAAGATGGAATTGAGTGTATAATTGAGTTTATAAATTGAGTGTAGAACTCAAGTTATAATTCAAAGTAAATCAAAATTTACGTCGGTTCTTTCTTCCTTTTTGTTTTTAAAAGAAAACTTACCTTTTCACTAAATATCCGCTTTTTCACGTTAACCTTAAACAGCTTTCGGACTAAGGAAAAAAATGTTTTAATTTGTTTTTATGTACCAGATACTGGGAACTTCTTGGAAAGTTGACGAAATATATGCTAGGTGTTCTGAGAATTAATCATCGTATGAATAAGGCATAACAAATCAAAACTAAATATTCTGAGTACCTGGCTGACAAAACTCCAGTCACTTTTTTGTGATACCTCTTGAACTTTACTTGGAGTAGTCTTCGAGTGAATGTTGTATTTTTGGATGAGAAAGTGTAAAAATAGTTAACAATATTTATTTAATTATTCAACAGCAATGTGGTCCTTCAATTATTCAAACCAAAAAATGCATTTTGTTTATTCTTCGAGTGGATTCGGGAGAGCTCAACCGTAGTAAAACGGTAATGGTATTTCTCAAGAAAATCCGATAGCTTTGAACAGAGCTTTTTGTTGCTTCTCTGAATTATAATAAGAAATGATTACACAATCCAAAAATTCCGTTTTTAGACTAAGAACCTAGAGACTAGGCTGTAGTGGAATTTTGGCATTTAAATCTCCATCATTTATATAAAGAGCCTGAGGGTTATAAAATTGATAGAGATTATAATATTTTAAGATATTAAAAGACTTCTGCTCTGTTTCGTTGTATTAAAGATAACGAGTCTTACCAGGACTAGGAGACCTACAGCAGGAGGATATTGCGTAAGAAAAATAATGATTCTATTCTTTTTGCGGGTTACTGTTACGGCTTTAACTGCACAAGAAAAGTACCACGCCGAATTTGGACCAAAAAACAAAAACACTATTTAAGAACAAAAATAGATTTAATTTATAGGCTAACTGGAAAATCCAGTTATTGTCGGTTAATATCGTGGCAAAATATAGTAGAATAACGGAAAGAAATCTAATGGATTTTGCTGGTACCAGTGTGCAAAAAAGCTTCTCTCGGTCATTGGCTGTTTCGACCCATTAAGCTTCCGCGTTACGAATTTACAGTAGAAATGGTAAGAGTTGATAATAATTAAATTAAGACGTCTTTGCTTTAATCGCTAAATTTCTCAAAAATCCTGTTAACTTGCCACTTGGATTTAAATGATTTTAACTCAAAAATTTATTGAAAATTTTCATTGTGTGGTAGTTAACTATTGAATATTGCCTATTGTGTCTATTTTACACTCAGCAAAGGAAATTGAAGACGTTTGCTCGCAGGCTAAAAAAACCATTGACTGGTATGTTTACCCTAACTCATTAGCCATCTGAAAAGAATTGTTTAATTGTTAATTACTTCTAGCAAGTCTGCTTAAGCGTAGAAATTAAGGTTCTGATAAATATTCTTAAAAGAACAGGGGGACCTAATGGATCTGTTCCTCAAAATATCTGTTCTTCAGGCTCATTTTTGCTGGCTGGGAGATGTGGAAGAAATAATAGTCCTTGGAAGGAAAGTGTTGCTGGGAAAAAGATAATTCGGGGTGTAAGAGGGGATTTGAAGTCTAGAATAGCTGCTACGGGTTACTTGTATGGGTTACTTTAACCACTCAAGATCTAAATTGTGCCCTATGAAACTTCCCAGTAAGTCAGGTTGCAGGTTGTAAGTTTGCTGGCTGGGAACTCTTCCATCAGTCTTGCCGGGAGTGAGGAACAGATAATTTTTTTCCAGCAATCTCCCAAAATGCTTAAAATAGTCTCAGAAAACTTTATTCACGCTTTGTTGTTGTTTTAGGTCTTTTTCTCAAAATTTCCCGTTGGGTGCGCCTGAAAGAAGCAAGATTGAATTGAAGAATTACTGAATAAATGAAAAATTGTCAGTTATCTATTTATTCTATCAGCTAGAAATACGTGAAACGCAGAACCTCGTGGGGGGAGTCTAGGGGGCCAGAAATAGGAAGAAAGGGAAAAAAAACAACTTGGAAAAAGAATATAGAGGACAAGAAAAAGACTTAAACAAACAAAACAGCACGCACACAAAAAAATGAAAAAAAAAAAACAACAATATATAAAGAAAAAGAAAAATGGGCTATTTTAAGTGTCAAACCCCTCACATCCAGTTTGTTGCGACTATTCCTTACCACCAAGAGAGGATAAAGGGGACAGAGAAGGCATCCCCCATACACACCCTATTCTATAGGTAATTCGCATCGAGTTATTTTAAGGCCAGTAGATCCCAAGGGGGATTAGACAACAGCCAATCACATAGCGCGAATGTGTTCCGCGTGGATGCCACGCTCAGAGCCACGCGTCCTTCATGAATTGACGCTGAAAAAAATGGCGGAAGACGCGGAGAGCGATATTGCTATTTGTTTTGTCGACGAAAACGACTAAAGAGAGATTTCTGCTAAAGCTGTGTCAGCGAAACGGAAATTAAAAAAGAATCGCCCTTCCTCTCTTGTATAGAGCTAACAGTACAGAAAGGAAATCCTTAACACACTGAATATTCTCTCAGGATCATTTATAATTTTCAGTTTGAAGAGAGCAATTTCTGGTTTGATATTTATTCTTTTCTTAGTCTTTTATTATTCAACAAAAATAACACTTGGCGTCCTACTTGCTTTATTAGGGACCTTAAGATACGAGGACGGGGAGCTAGGACGGCGACGGGGGTGGATGGGGAAGACTAGGTCGAGCCCCGTCGTGCACGCCAAAAACAAAATACTTAAGATCAAGCAATTTTCACTTGGGACGGCAACGGCGATATTTCTTTCACAAACAAATATGTCGACCTTTAAACACGCTAGGACCGTTCTTCTGGAGAGCTACTTAGACGGTGTGATAGACGACGATAAATTTATTCTACTATGCGGTGAAACCTTCAAGAAGCCGAAATCTCCATATGAATTTTTTTTTTATTTTTACTTGAAATAATGACATTAAAATACAAAAATACAG